CACTAGAGCTTCTAGAGCTGTAAGTTTTTAAAATCTGAATAATGAGCTGCTGTGATGAAAATTTTTCCAACTTCTCATTTCCCACTAATTAATATAACACTCTGGCACCTTCATAGTCTAACCACAGCTTTGTGTTCTTAGTGGTCATCAGTTACCTTAGTGTCCTGATTCTTTTTGTCAGTATGTGCCCGTAGAGAAAGGACCACGTAGCATTGGCTTTCTATATTCAGAGCACTATGCGATGCTTTTCAGGCTTAAAGAAACAAATAAGTAGGTGGATGAAGCCTGTTTTAAATCAGTAGTGTGCTCAGGGTAAACCACATTTCCTCTAATGATGAGACAACCTAATTTTGCTAATTTGATAACTTCTGGTTTTAGAGTTACTCGTTATTTTCTCACATTTTAATGCGTTGTTAATGGAGCTTTTCGTGGAGTAGTATAAATGTCCACTGGACCCTGATAGAAAACTGTTTCAACTCAGTTGAGCTTCATTGCTTTAGCATAGTTCTAAATTAGTTCTAAACATGCTGAATCCAGGGGAAGCAATATTCCACCTGAAATGCATTAAATGTAGTAGAATGTATTAGAATGTATTAGAAGAATTAAGCCGTAAAGTCACATTACACAGTACGTCTAAACTTCAGAGCTTCCAGCACATTAACTGAACTACATGTCTCTGGTTTAGTGTTTCTGTTGTCTCTGTATATTAGTAAAACTTTGATACCATTTCAATAAAATTTGCTTTGGATGGAGAAAAATTTTTTCTTTTTTTCTTTTTCTTTTCCTTTTTTTTTTTTTTTTTTTTAAAGAGAGAATACTAGAAACTGTGTTCACCCTATTGAGAACTAGAACTCTGGAAGATTATCATACTATTTGAAAGTCCAGTAACAAAGACCATAGATAATAACGAAAGGTACATACAAATATTAAATGAGTGAAAGCCCACAATATGATAATTATTGTTTATATGTGTATAATTCTAAAGACCTCTTTGACCATATACTAAAAGAACACCAAATAAACTTTTCATGTAGTACTAGTTTTGTAGCTCTTCAAATGAAAAGATAACATTTGTAAAATATTACAGATTAATTGTGGTCACAAACTATGTGATATTACATTATTTAGTTCTGTCATTCATTCATTCAAATTTTCTTGAACACCTATTATGTGCAAGGAACTGTACTGGGTGTATATTATGTGTGAACTTGTGTTTAAACCAGATGAACAAAGTAGCTGTGGCCCCTGTCCTTATGGATATTTACTTCTAGAAAACTCCATATATATTTTTTAATTTTTTAAAAATTGGGGGAATTATTCACTATTATATAAAGTTATATATATATTCAACTCTATAGACATGTAGCTGATCTACACTTTCAGGAGCTGGAATACAACAGAACAAAATTAAAGTGGAGAATGTGACTCTTGTCCATGCTTTTGTTTTTCCTGAGCCTGAGTTGGCCCGTTTGTGTTATAAACCACATTATTAGTACCGTTTCCCTCCTTTCATTGTTGTACCCATTGTTATCCAGTTGAATCTTCAGTTTTTCCTTTTTTCTTGTAATATTGATATTCAACATCACCTTGTAGTTTATAACTACTTTTAAGATGCCAACTAACAGCATTTCATGTTGACTTATAACATTACTTGATTATAGAAAACATTTTTAAAATTAAGAGGTCAATTCATGGAAATTTCTGTTCTCTTACATTATACCTTGTTTCCACATGTAGTTTAAGAGGAAAACATGAAAACCTTTTCAGCAGTTGTTGAAGTCTTCCAAATACAAAGACAAAAAGCAAAGCAACTGGCCTCATTTGGCGTGGAGCACAGGCCCTAGACTTGGTAGCCTCAGCATGTGACGTGCAAGCAGGCTGCCCAGGTGTCCACATACCTGAGGAAGGTCATTCAGGAACAATGTGAATCACTTTGCTGTCCTCAGGGAGCCTCGTTTAAACTATCTTTTCATCTCCATTGCAGAGATAAACTATTTTCTCCATCAAGGAATAAGGGACAATTGTAATTTCTTCTTCAATATTTTTTTCTCATATAAGGCAAGTTGTTGAAGAACCGACTATATTTTTTTCTTCAGGCCTTTCTACTTTTCCCCCACCAAGTGTTGAAAGCTTGAGGCACTCTTAGATAAAATGAAAGAATATTAGCAATTTTATTACAAATGTAAAAGCAAATCATGGTAATGAATACTTCAAAGCAGGTGGGTCTGATTTACGACCACACTTGACCTTGAAAAGAGTCATACCGAACTTATTAGGATAAGAGCTGATAATTCTTGGTTGCTCTTGGCAATCAAAACTTTTTGCTGAAGGGAAAATTCAAATTATTCAAATTGTGGAGCTACTCTTTTTTTCCTTAACCTTCCTCTGTAACCTTGGAATAATTTAAAGACTAAACTGCAGGTTGAAGGTATAATGTTCTTTATTTAAGACCCTTAGGCAGTTTAAGTAGAATCTGGTAGCGGGGGAAGGGACCCTTATTTTAATAAGTACTTTCAAGATGTTATTTCCCTCAGCAAGGTACTTTTAGAAGATCTATCTTCAATTTAGCTTATAAACACTAATCTGCAATAAGTTTGAAGTGAAACAATTTTTTTTTCCATTTCACATAATTTATCATTTCATTGTCTGAAAACTTTATGGTTTAGCTTTCAAGTTTTTTTATGTTGCAGTAAGATTTCCAAACGACAAAATTAAATTACACGCCCAGACACAGTTCTCAAAGGACAAAGCACCAGAAAGAAATAATATTATAGAGTTCTGAAGAGGAAACTTCCAACTCAACGGCCAGGAAATTCAAGAAAGAGGTTGACCTGATCCCTTTTTATGGAGTTCAGTTTTTTTGTGCTTCTAGATCAGTATATCTTTTTGGCTCAGTGTTTCAAATGAGTGTCATCATCTGCCTTGAAATATTTACTATTATTGAAACTTAGATGCTGTATTGAAGTAATGAGAGCCACCTTTGTCCAGGGAGTTTGTTTCTAACAAGGTAGTTTGATATCCTGTCTATTTCTTGATCCTCCTGAGGTGCATGCATCATGCATGATTTCAGTTATCGAAGAGGATACTGGGACCTTAGAATCTGTTGTGCAAGTTGTTCTGGCAGGTCTTTGAACCAATCTACCCAATTTTGGAGCACAAATGGCAAATGGTTTGTTTTCCTTAAGAGTGTATGGCCATTGTTTGTCTTCTGTGAGTTTTCTGATCTCTGTCTTTATATGTTCTATTGGGTCAGTAGAAAAATTGTTCTTTCTGATTCCTTTGCCTCTTGAGTCAATGGAAAGCGATAGGGCAGTTCCATAAGCCAGTGATTTCTTATCACTATCTTACTGAAAAACTCTTTCACAGAAGGAGTTGGTTAAGCTGTAAGCGAAAGTTCCATCTGTAGCTCTGGCAATGAGAGGAAAATAAAAGATTGTTGGGTCTAAAAGGAAGAATCAAATGTTGCTTATCAATTTTAAACACCTGAAGAGCAGGCGAAAGGGTCTTCTTTCAGTTTTTCTGAAATTGTGTTGTAATGACAATATGGTTTTGTGTGTCTGTGTGGTTTTGTTTTCGTTTTGTTTTTGACTTCACAGGAAGAGGTTTAAACATGAAGGCAAACCTTTTAGATGTTAGCATGGCTATATACAAAGCAAAGCTGCCTTTTTTTTCTTTTCTCTGCTTCCATTTAGGCCTATCACATAATTTAAGAAAAAATAAAATTTAACCACAGGAGCTCTAACTATAGTGTGAAAAAAAACCTGATCAATTTTGTTTTTGCAGCACGATATTATCAAAGATTTAAGAAACAAATTTGCCAGCCTCGGCGAGAACTCTCTGGTAACAGCATAAATGTCTGTGTTGGTTGCTTTTGATTTAAAGGTTTTCTTTTTTCATTTGTTTGAGCCCATTTCTTTTCCCCCTCCTTTTAGTTCACTTTATTTTTCATATTCCGTAAATAGCAAGCCTTCATTTTTTAAACCTCTTCCATCTTCCAGTGTCTATTTTTCGTACTTTGGATGGAAAGTTTATGGCAGCAAAGCTGTCACCCTGGCTACCTCTGCTGCAGCTCTTCCTGCTCTTAGGTCATATATGTTTTGGCCGTTGTGTTTATGGACATGATACTAATTGACCGTTTCATGTCCCATTGACTAAGCTTCTCTACCACGCCATTTGATGGACTCGCTGTCATAGGGCTCTATGCAACTTTCATTCTGCAACTTATACTGCTTAGTTCCGTCTCAGTTCTCCAGTGAACTGGATTGCTCAAGTGAATGATCATACCAGTCTTGAACTTGCTGTGCCTTTATATTTTATTTTTATTTTCTTCTTTATGTTTTCAGTGGTAGCTTAAGTGGAAAAGAACAAACTCCAGTCATTGCTCTAGCAGCTCCATTCAGTATCGTTTGTTACCACCAGAGAATACAAAATATAAAGGCACACTGCATCTCTTATTCTTTGGGGGTGGTTGGGGAGATCCCTATCATAAGTCTGCCACTTAGTTGAAGCCTACCTCTTTATCCATATCAGCTTTCAATTTTGCTTAAACTCCAAGATGTCTCAGCCAATGTTTTTCTGTGATTCAGTGATAACTCGCAACATGAGCCATTTGCTGAGCAGTATCAAGTTATGGCCATGACATGGGAGATTATTAAAAACATGACAAACTTATGCACATATGTATCAATCAGAAAGTGCAAGTTTCAATGAATGAAGTACACTACTTCAAAACTGTGATACAGGCTTTGGACTAATCAAATCATTGAAACTGTGAAAAATCCATCCTGGTAAACCAGTACCAAAAGTCTATCAAGAAAAATATGAAGGGAAAAACCAAGAGTTGAATATGTTAATATCTGTTTAATAACATCGTTGGTGTTGAAATGGTCCATAATGTTGTCATAGAGCCCATATATGAAGAGATGATTAAAAATATGGTCTGTAGAAAGCTGCTATGCTTACTGAGAGCCACAACATAAATGGTTGGGATTTGTGTTCAGGAAAAAGAAATGGAAAAGCAAAAGCTTCTGTACCAGCAAGCCAGACTGCATGACCGAGGTGCTGCCGAAATGGTGCTACAGACTATCAGTGCCAGCAAAGGTGAGGCTTCAGATTTCCTCTTTATTTTCTAGTATTCCCTCATGTCCGTCCCACTGACTCATTTAGTCCCTGAATTTCTGGTTCATGGCTATGTCACATGCCTATTCACATGAAAGCAGCCAGAGACAATAAGTAAGCAACTGCATGGCTGTGTTCCAATAAAACTTTATTCACACAAACAGGTGGCAAGCTGTGTTTGGCCCTCAGGTCACGATTTGCTGACCCGTGATATAAATGTTTAGATTTTTAAAGTAAGTCGATTTTTAACAATTAAAATGCTGTTGTACTTGTATATCTCAGTAGCCAGCTATTTCAAGACAATTTCTTATATTAGTAATATCTTCTTTGTGAAAACATTTTTAATGTAATTTGCAATGGAATGGGAAAGTAGTGGTGGTATGTTTTGTTATTAAGCACCCTTCCCCCAAATTTATGAGGCCTGTTTTGATTTCTAAGATAAGTAGAGGTGAATAATGAAAAATAAAATATAATATACTAAATGATAGATGAGTTGGATTTTTTTTTTTTTTTTGGCAGCTGGCCAGTACAGGGAACTGTACCCTTGACCTTGGTGTTACAAGGCTGTGCTTTAACCAACTAAGCTAACTGGCCAGCCTGGATTTAAAATTTTGTTATTATTAGCTGAATAAGTTAAAATTGAGAACAGTCATCTTAATAAAGCCAGACTTTATACTTATTAAGATAAAAGTGATGAAATGAAAATGATAAAAGTTGTTCAAATATAATATTGTTGAGGAAGGAGGGAGAGGAATTTTTCTTAAAGAAAATTAAGTAGCACATATTCATTTTAATATTATTTTAATACCCATGATTAGTTTTGAATCTTAAGAATTTTAGGTCTTAGTATTTCAAAATCAAGTTTTTCACTATGTCTTCATATGTTCACCTATTTCTTCATGTGTCTTTGTATAGTTTCAATTTATGTATATATTGCATGGAATTTAGTAAATATTGATGGTAAAATATGCATTATCATTGTTTTAATATTTTTTGGTATATAAGTCAGTCTGTCTCCCTCAACCATTATACAGATTTATAGGAGGTAGAAATAATTTTAAAAGTACATTTGAGGGCCGGCCCGTGGCTCACTCGGTAGAGTGCAGTGCTGATAACACCAAGCCAAGGGTTGAGATCCCCTTACCGTTCATCCTTTTTTAAAAAAAAAAAGTACATTTGAGGTAAAATGGGTTAAATAGAAGGTGAAATTATTTAAGGAACAGTATTTTTTTATATTTTTAAGGTGAAACTGGACCAATGGTAGCTGCTACTTTGAAACTTGGAATTGCCATTTTAAATGGTGGGAATTCTACAGTACAGCAGGTAACATTTTTAATCCACTCACATAATGTGCTTTTCAAATAAATGGACTGCATCAGTGTAGTAAAACAAACAAACAAAAAAACCCCACTATTTGTTGTAAATTTTTAAATTTTCTATGTAAAATGTGTCTCTATTATTTTAATTTACAACAATACCCAAGAGCAAGCATAGGAGGGAAAAAGTAATTTTGGGATAGTCTTACAAACCAGAGCATAAAATGGTATCAGAATATCTGAAAACATTAGTCTACATGTGGCCTCTTATCATGACCAATGAATACTGAGGCATGAACCATCCTTGTATCAAAAGCTATGGATATGTGCTTATGGAACCTGGCAGAGGTAACCAACTGATTCTCTTCTCATAGTAAATGACTACATCACGTACAAAAATAAAAAGAAAGAAAATGTACCTAATCTCTTCAAAATATTTATCAGAAAATAATTTCTCTTGCCTTATGTTTTCCTTCAAAAGACCTTCATTGTATAGTACATATATTCAGGAATTCTTGGATCTGGGGAAGTCTTTAAAGATCATGTAATATATGTACTTGTTTTCTTTATAGACATCTTTTTTCTCTAGAAATTCAAATACATATTCCACCACCTCCCTTTGACACTTAAAACCACATTTCTTTGTTTTAAAACACCAATAATTAATGTGTTACATTTTTATTAGACCAATATATTATTACACTTTCCCAAAATAGCTGTTTTTGTGTGTATGTTTGTACATGCATGTACCTGTGTGTGCATGTGTGTGTATACATATATACATACACTTGGTGTGTATATTTGTGTGTGCAAACATTTGTATATATACACATGTGCATATACTTTGTGTGTGTATCCTTTACACATTTGGTTTATATCATCTTTGACTAATTTCTGAAGACAATTACTACCAAAATTTTGGCTGCTAGCTGAGCCCTGTTTAGAATAGCATTGATAATAGGAATTATTCTCCTCTGTTCAAGATTTGGAGAAAAGGAGTCTCTTTATATCCTTAAAACCTTTGAGTATGCCTTCAGTCATCTTATGTGTACATTTTTTTGAAACCTCCAATGCATTTTGTCTATGTGAGAAATAGCTGTTTCATTGTGCTGTGTACCAGTAAGCTAACAAGACTGAATTATGCATTGCTTTAGCATTTTCTACATTTATGTTTAACCAAAATTTTGACCACAGATTCTGGACATCATTCTGAGGCACAGAGAGAAATTTAATAGTCCAGTGATTCCTACCATTCTTTAGATTTAGAGGCTATGATAATGGAAACTGAATTTCTGGCTATAGCAGTAGCAGATGGCAGTCCCAACGGTCAGGTTGAAAGGCCATTTAAGGAACTCACTTTTGCATGGAAATCTGTGAGTAGCATACATGTGGATCTTCTTCCCAGTTCACTTGCACTAAGTTATCTAAATCTCTAAATACTTAAAGAATTACCAGAAGAAAATTAAAAATAATATTTTACCCAGATATTTATGGTGCTTGTTCCAAGTCATGTTTACTTACTGCTGCACATAAAAATGCACATTGATCTTCCTTTGACATGTTTGTCGCTATTTCATGATAAAGGTGACGTTAGCAATATTTGTATGCACTGAATATTTTTTGTCTTTGTTTTAGAATAGAAAATATGTTTTGGTTGTTTCTCTGCTTATTTAATAAACAACAAGATTTGTGTTCAGTGACCATGTGGTTTCTGTATTTCCTGTAGAAAATGCTTGACTACCTCAAGGAGAAGAAGGATGTGGGTTTCTTCCAGAGCCTGGCGGGCCTGATGCAGTCGTGTAGGTGAGTCTGTCGGGTCTACTCAGTGCTTGTGTTTTTCAAGGTATTTGTTTTTACATTGCTTATAATAACTATATAAAGAAGAAGCTTAGTGATTAAAGCACTTTTAAGTGGGACGATATTCAGTGTCTTGTTTTCTGTCTTGTTTTTAGAGTGTTAGTAATGTCTTAATTATAAACTTACTTAATGTTAATAGTGTCTTAAAATAGTTTTCCCTGAGCTTAAATAGGGACCTTGGAGGATTAAGACGTATTCTGCATACTTGAAAATGAGTAGTGTATGATATTTAGAAAGAGAAAAAAAAAGAAAATTTTATTCAGTTTTACCTGGAAGCTTGTAGGGAATTTCTCATTTTTAAAATTTCCATTGTTTACAGAATTTAAAATCATTCAGACAGACTAAGGAACCTGACACACATACTTAATGTAATAAGCTATTCCAACTGCAAAAACATGTTTATTGTGATTATGTTTCTACATGTCTGCTAACTTCGTAATGCACTTTCCAAGCTGAAATCTGTGAGTGCCGTATGTTTGACTTTCACATGGGTCATTTCAGGGTAGGGCCTGGGGAGAGGCTAGTTGGCTACAAGGAAAATACGGTTGATGAGCTTTAGATTGGGACATGTTTTCAGTGAATGTTAACGTTTGCTTCACATTTCAAGATAAGCGGTGTGTAGACATTGAATGAAGAAAATTTTCTCTTAGTCTTCTAAATGTCCTTCTTCTTGTTGTCATAGTGTCCTTGACCTAAATGCATTTGAGCGACAGAACAAAGCTGAAGGACTTGGCATGGTGACAGAGGAAGGATCAGGTATTAATCATTTACATTAAAAGGATCACCTGTCTCCCTTCTTCCCTGAAACGAGTTCATTATCAATCACCTTTTCATGCAGAGAGATACAAGGTTATTTTAAAATTGGTAAAATGCTTACATGACTCACTTGAAAGTTCATGGGTGCTTCCACAGGTCACACCCAAAAACCAACCTTCCAAGTCAGTCGTTATCTCCTTTTAGTCCTGGCCCTACTTTGTCGGCCTTTTTCCTAGTTGGGTTTTTAATAAGGGATAAATTACCTGTGAAATCACAAAGCACATGGATGAACCAAATTAAAGAATGTTTGACTTTCTGTGGCCACATTAGCAAGTGGTCAGGCTGTCAGATTCTTCCATCTCCTTAGGATAGTCGTGCTCTTAGGTCCTCAGTCTACCACTCTTCCTTCCTTTCAGCACCGCTATCTTTCTCTACATATTCACACATCTCTGCAAGTCCAGACTGTTTGATGAAAGAAATTAGAGAGTAATTTTTGTGCTTAAATAATTCTGATCACTTTTTTTATATGTGCACATACATGATTTGTGTGGTAATTGGGTTTTTCTCTCTCTAAATACGAGGGTACTTCAAAAAGTTTGTGGAAAAGTAGAATTGAAATATAATATAAATCTTTCCTCAAACTCTTTAAAGTACCCTCGTAGATGCAAGTGTAAACCAAAAAGTTTGGCCTGCAATACATTTAAAGCAGAAATAGCCATTGAGACCTGTTCATTTTTGCAGTATTTAGGAAAAAATTATCTTCAATATCTTTTGTTTTGATTTGTTTTTATTCTTTTATGTTTTATTTTTAAACTAGTTTTAGTGACACCCCCATATGTTTATCTGTTTTTGTTTGCTTGGTCTGGTTTGGATTTGCCATCTTGTCACTGTATTAGTTTGGGAACGTTACTTTTATTCCACTATTTGACTAATCATGTTTCAAAAAATAGATTTCTTCCTATCTGCCATTTGTAGTCTTTGCTTGCCTTTCTGAAATATTTTAGAATTTTTTTTACTGTAATCTCTGTATTTCTATATATTTTTGTTCTCACAAATAGGAAATATTTGATCTCAATTTTTTCTTATTGTGTATTAAAGGTTATCATACACATTGTGACACTGCTAGTACTATGTGGCTCCTGTGATATTTTATTCTCTGCTTGACATTTGAATGTATAGGTCCAATCATCAAATATGTCATATGGTTACTTATTTGTGTTAGCTGCCTTCAAGAAAACCACCAGCAGCACTCTAAACTTACTTAAGTTTTCTGGCCTGAGGATCCCATTTGGAGAACTTGGAGCCACCAGAAAGATCGGGGCACATTACCTGCCTGACTCTTGGAAGTCCTAGGCATTTTCTAGCTGTAAAATGCCTAGAGGTGAATGAATTTTCTGTCGAAAGTCTGACCTCCCTGTCTTAGAATTAAAAATCAATTTCATTTTCCCCTGTAGTTATTCCCTAATGTTCCAGAGCCTCAGAACAGAATTCCATTAATCATTCTTAGTCACTGTCAATGTCAGCTTTCACAAAGAAATAGCAGCCACAAAGTTTATCTTACATAGCCTCCTAGCCTTCATCAGCCAGATGTGGATTGGAATAACGTCTTTATGCCCCAATTATTTATATCTCTCAATGTGAGATTGGTTTAATTTGTGTATTTTTTTTCAACACACACAAAAATAGTTGCCCAAACTTATTAACACCTTTTGTATTTTCTTGCAAACAGCAAAACAAAATCAAAATCTCAACTTCTTTCTTTTTCCTCATTTCCTTTCCTTTCGACTACTGTAAATGTCCCATCCTCTCTTCCTCAGTGATCACTCATGAGCGGGGTAATTATTAAAAATGAACTGCCTTTTGTTTATTTGCTCTTTTATTTCTTGCTAGCTTTGTGTACAGATTTGATAGTGATCTTTTTTGTGAATTTTTTTCATTCACAGCTTGTTTTAACATGTAGATTATTTAATTTCCATCGTTACGCATTCTGTTCTTTTTAAATTTTATATAGCTAGCTTTCATCTTTTTTCTTCTTTCTATGAGGATGTGCAGTTATTAATATATTAGATATGGAGGGCAACAAGCATTTAACTTACGTTTTTGGATTTGCTTTGCTATGTTTCTTTCATTTAAAAAAATTTTCTGGTGGTCCCAGCGTCTGCAATTGTTGTGTAAATGAATGAGTCATGGAATGTGTGCTCTGGTCTCCCTGTGCTGTTTCTGTCCTGAATGTGCTGTGGCTTTATGGCTGCACTGACTGGTGCACAGGAAATCATTGGCAGATCCAGGCATACACGACCAGCTGAGTCTCTGCCCGGCCAGCATGCCCTGCCAGTGCCTTCCAAGTACTGGGAAGTCTACAGAGTTTTTCTGTATTCCTTTGAAAATATCACAGATCAAAAATCTTTTAGCATTAACACTAATTTTCACTTTCGAGATCAAATTCCAAGAGCAGTAAAACGGTAGCAAATATTTACTCTTCAAACTAGTATAATAACAAAGACAGCATATTAAAAAAATTTCTCTTACAAGGCCGTTGTTTTCTTTAGGATTCTACAAAAGTTAAGAAAAGCTCAGACCCTGGTAAGAGAAGGAAAAATCAGTTATCTCTCTTGGAAGGTATTAGAAAAGGCTAAAAACCCTACAGATGCCATTGCTTCAGAATTTGGGACTCGGCATAGGTTTAGTGCTGAGAAAATAAACTGCTAGATGTAAATCTTCTCCATACTAATCCTCTGTCTTTATTAGGCAAATCTCTTCCTGTTGATGATAATAAGACCATAGATTACATAGCCATGGAAAATGTATAGACTTAAACACATGATCTTTTTGATAGCCACAACCCTCCAGTGAGGTAGCTATTTCTTCAGTTTAATAGATGAGGAGACTGAGGACCAGAAAGGTAACTAGAGCTGTCTACAGTCACACAGCTGAGTAGCAGGGCCAAGACGGAAATGCAGGCATTCTGCCTGCCACTGTTTGACGTACAGATTGCACAAGCCAAGTCACTTCCCTCCCATCTTTTTGTATTGTTTGGGGGCTTATTTTGTGTATAGCAATAGCTTAAGTAGTATTTTTTGCTCCTTATCGGTGTGTGCCCCCTTCCAGGACGCCAGTCTGTTGCCAGTTTTTGCACTTATTGCTAATGCTTCAAAATGATTTTTGAACTTTTTATAGTTACAAACACTATTCCTAATCTGGTATTGAGATACCATTAGGAACTATGTGTTTCTTTAAGGTTTATAAATAAAGACTTCAGACTGATCATTTATGTTCTTTTTTCTACTGCCATTATCATGTAAGTTTGCCCTGTGTCCCTATCCCTCCTTACGAAATTTCCCCATTTCTACAAAAGCCAGAACTTCCCACTTGTTCAAAAAAAAAGTTCTTTCTTCAGCAAATGTGTTTGGTAGATTTGTGATGTGCTCAGTGTTGTCCTCTGTATACTTTTTAATCATGTGTGTTTTATTGATATAATGATGTTCAAAAACAAAAAACCTATATGAATATTTAAAATTTCATTTCATCCTTGGATTTTAATTTACTTTTTTCTCAGAACCATTTAACCTCATTACCAAATCATTGAGCTTGAAAGTGCAATTTTTAGGCTTTCATAACTGTTCTTGGAATATAGCAGAAGATAGTGCATTTTATTTTTGGTCATTGTGCGGTGGTTCTAGAGTTTACAAGCAAGATAGAATTTAGAAGATGATCTGATTCCTTGTAAATTATTTGCTTTTTTAGAAATCTTATCTAAAACACTACCAGTTAACCTTCCCCAAATTTCCATCTGTGTCTGATAATATGTTGCACTGAGGTTCTTAGTGATGTATTTACAGTGACCTCATCAAATTTATGTGAAGTAACAGAAATTAATATTTAATTGATTAAGCAAAAGGATTAAGCTAATCTTTAAGTATTGGCTTCCCTAACTTTTTGTTACTGTTTTTATTGCCAAATTATCTATTGGCTATCTGTCACCCAATCTCTTCAAAATACTTTCACAGGAGTAGTTAAGTTGTGCCGACATCATTCTGCCGTTCCTGTGGGTAAACTTTCTCTTCAGGGAAGGCTTGTAACGTTGGTTCGTGGCACCAAATACATTTTCTTAGCATCCTTGTGCAATTTTTAGACTTTGAAGCACTCGCTTAAATTTGAGTGGCTCTTATGTGCTAGATGGTGTCCTAGGCATTAGAGATAATTTAGGAGCACTGTATTAGGTAGACAGACTTGTAAACAAATAACTTCAGAACAATGCTGTACATGCATGAGCAAACTTGGTGGAAGTGCTTAGCTGCCTGGGTGTGGGGGGGAGGAAGTATCACGACAGAAGTGACACGTGGCCCAAAGCAGGAGTCTCCCTGGAGGGGAAGGAAGGTGAAGTCATTCCAGTGCAAGGGAACAGAGTAACATAAAGTTTAAGGTATGAAATGCAGTGGAGGACAGTGACCAGCCTGGTGTAGTTGAAGGGACATGATGAGCTAGAGGGTGGGAAGACAATTTGTGGGAGACCATGAAAGATGACCTTCTCTGTCCTACCAAGAATTTGTACTTTTTTTCCTGAGGTCATGGACAGCCACTAAACAAGTCACACTCAAGAGATACTATGTGTAGTGTTAAATGATCCACCTGGAATTACGTTCCTGACAACCATTGCTCAAGCAACGCTTCTGGTAGAATACGTTAACTTTAAAGTGCACAGCTTTCTCATTTCTCAGTAGTGCTGCTCTATTAGATAGGATTGAGTCCTCCAAAGATAGTGATCAGCAATTTTTCCTTCAGGGCAATGGGAGAGCTCTGAGATGTTTCTAGCGATACATTGTAGGGAATTAGTCAGAGTAGATTTTTCATAGTTACAGTTTAAAGAATCCGCCTGTTTATCAGGGGAGTATTGTCATTGGATTGGTGCTTTTAAAAAATGACTCATAGGCAACATTGTGTAAGAGGGTATCACAGTCTCAAGGCAAGGAGATCAGTTGGATGTTGAGGGATGGAATGAATGAAGGACACTTAGGATTTCAACAGGAGTGATGACAGCTGAGAGGTGTAGGCTCTGGCTATAGAAGAAACAATCTGCAAATCACATCTGAAAGCAAAAGGATTTTTTTTCCCCTCCACAGCTACTTCAATTTGTTTAAGTAACAGAATGTGCTTTAATTCTATTATCCTTGGACATACCTAATTTATTTCACATAGTGATTGTTTTTGTTGTTCTGGGATCTGAAATAGGAATGCATTATATAAACTGGTGTCAGGTTGTTAACAAAATTTAAGTAAATGCCCTCAGTGGAATTTATAGATTGTCATATCCACACCTACTGAAATTTTATATTTCAGAAATTTAAATAATTTGACCTGTGGCTTCACAGCATTGAAACTTTACATTTATTCCTTTTGTACTTTGCAGATTTCAAAGCACTTTTACTTGTTCGAACCAATTTGATTCTCCCAATAGCCCCATGAGATAAGGTGATCAGGAATTCGTTAATCCCCATATCGAAATGATGAAACTAAGGTTTAGAAAGGTGAATTGACTTTCCTGAAGTCAAACATCTAGAAATGGTTTTTCTTGGGTTCTAAAATTGATGAGAACAAGTACCAGTTCACAACTTAAATAACATACAATAATCCTTAGTCAAAGATTTTGTTAGTTATTGATGTTAACTTACAAAGTTTAAAAACTGTGGCACACTGGATTCAGAAAGACCATATAATATTGAAATTATCTGTTTACTGCCTGTCTCTTCCATTAGACTATGAACTTCTTCAGGTTAGAAACTGTGTTCACCTCACAAGCTGCCTGGCATAGAGGAGGCCCTTTGTGAATGTTTATTGAAGTTCACTGGAATCATACCCTTTACCAGTTAATAGCTGTGTGACATCAGTTGAGTTATTTAATTTATCAGTTGTTTACTGAATCACAAAATGAGATTACATTTGCTTAATTTATAGTATTATTATAAACATGAAATGAATGACAACATAATATATGTAGCACAATGTCTAGCACATTGTAGTCACTAACTAAATGTTAACTGTAAATCCATTTAAAAATTTTTTTTCCTTGTTAGTTGGATTGTAATATAATTAAAGCAGTCATTTAAGCTACTTAGGCAGTGATGTTAAAATTACCCACATGGAGTAAAATACCTGACTTTTCACTATTTAAAAATATTTTCAGCCTTAATTCTTTAGTTTTGCCATTATGCAAAATAGATATTCACATGCTCAAAAGATCAGAAATCAGAATGATTTCCTCCCTGCCAGTGGGGTGCTTCCAAGTCACATTTAACAGTAGATTGTAGGGAACCCTTTGCTGTGACCAGTCTCACGTTCCATGCTGCTCACCCTTTACCTTTGCATCCTAAGTGATGTTGACATGACGAGTCTTCACAGTATGGGAGTGTTAGTCTTTTGGAGTCTATTTATCCTAATTCAATTCAATTATCTTTAAATACACACTATGTAGTCTTTTTACTTCATTAGACTTTATTAATTTATTAAAAAGTATTGAAATTATTAACCTTAATTATTAATAGTTATTAACAAATTAAGATTTGTCTGGAGAAGAGGTTGAGAACTTCAAGCTATGTTCATGGACATTCTAAGTAACCATTAGACACACACACACAAAGTTGTGTTACTGAACTTAAGCAGACACTTGCATACTTTTCTATTAATTGGATAAACCAGTTGTGAGCCCAGCGGTGGCCTTTAAGTGTGTGTTACCTTTATTAGATCGCCAAAATAGGATTTACTGTTCCCTCCTAGCTTGAATAAATAAGATCTACCTACTATTACTCCCAAGCAAGAATATAAAATTTTGAGAACATTGATGCATTAAAATTAAGATGGCTTTTAGAAAATATAAACACAGTTAATAAATATACTCAAATAATTATAATTGTCATCTAGGAATGTTGTTTCTATCTTTATTTAGTGTTATTGCCACTTCTCTTAATATATTAACCTTTTCACAATTTATAAAAATTATCACGGATTATGAAGAGCCAGTGACACAGATAGTGAATGTATTATCCTCATTTTATAGATGAGAAAATTAAGCTGCAAAGAACAAACTCCTCATCGGCAACAAAATTGAAACAACTCTGTCTTTATTACAGTATTAGAAATCTTAATCCCTTTATAAAATGAAACCAAAGGAAGCCCTTCGCAATATTTATATTGAGCCCTCATGCAGCTGTTACAAATATTTTTAAAATATAAGAGCACTTTCAACTAAATGTCACTCCATTTTGTTATTTGTTATGAATCTTAGCTTCCATCTTAACAATGGAATTTTTTTTTTTGCATACATCACAAAATAGACTGTTGATCCTGTACCTTCTGCAGACATAAAGCCATCACCATCTCTTACTGTGCCCCTTACTCGCAGCATGGGCCATGGCAGCATTTTAATGAGGTAGTAACGTATTCATGAAGCAATAGTGCCCCAGTTGATACCTGGTGTCAACTGATGGGGAAGGAAGGTCTGACCAGTCCCCATCCCCTCCGTCTTCCTGATCCCCATTGCTCTGCTATGTGCAGTGAGTCCTTACCTATGAGAATTTACATGTGTTTTGGTATACAGTCAAGAAAATACTGTGCATGCCAGCAATAAATAAAACCTCATGCTGTCAGTCATTATGCATTGTGCGGAGCATTTTTAGATACACAGTTAGACTATGACATTTATTTCCGTATTAACTTCTCTGAATACTTTATAGCAAGGGCTTCTCATTTCACAGTGATTATATGAATGTTGGAAGTATGTACATGGTTTATTGATTTGATTTTCTGAAAAAAGAAACACTGTAGATGGGCTCACAGCAAGGAATCAATAAATCTATATAATCAACTCATAATATTTTGATTTAATTATCCTTTTAAAAGACTCTTCTGATTAAAATGGTTCTTGAAAATGAAATCTAAGTATAATCAATGAAGAGCTTAGTTCATTTTTTAGCCTAAACTGTTCCCCTTTCCTTCCTGTCCTATCATGAACTTGAATACCGAGGAATGGACTTATCAGCCATGTATGGAGATTCAAAACCGTGTGTCTTTAACTCGGTGATTTTAGCGTGGTCACCAAATACCATACCTTGCGGGCTAACAGGGAAATGAGTACAGTGATTTTATGTACTTTTTTTTAATGTTTATATTAGTTTTCAAAATGGTTTTGCTTCCTAACCCTACCATTATATGAAGCCTCTCACTTTGAAAGTCACAGACTGCGGACTGGTAAGTCCATCGGCTCTCTGTCATTATGATCACCCATGATTTTAGTTAAAGTAAACACATGATCATTTTATAGTTTTCTTTCTTGGCCCAAAGTATTTATAGTCTGTGAAAAGTTATTTTTTTTTTTTAAATACATAAGTACATCCATTCGCTGGCTAAACAACATTTTTTCGTCATTTTGCTTTCTAAGCAAATTTAGATTCTGGAACAGGCACTCATAATGTTGAAATTTTTTTTTCACTGACACTTTGTGTTTTTAAAATCAACTTTCATTTGTGTAGTGCTGTTCTGTGTTTGTTTCTTTCCTTGTGTTTTCACTTTCAAAGTAACTTGTGATCGAGATACACGTAAATTAAAACACAGGTAAACTATCTGAGCTCTTTTCTGAGGCTTCATCTTGGCCCTACAAATATTTTTAGTTTTGATACGCAGAGTAACTTCTGTGACTCGGGGTGCCCATCTTTTCACCTTTCTTTGTTAGGTTTAGTTTAGCCCTCACAGCACGAGCCGCCAAAGTCTTTCCTTAGTTTTGATATTTAGAGTTAAGTTTGTGTACTTCCTGTGGAAGTGATGCTACAACCAATCACGTCTCTGTGCTAGATTTCTTTTCTCTGTTTTGTTTAGTCCGTAGACAAGCAGATGAGAGAGGTAATTAAAACAAGTTAATAATATTTTCTAGCGATTTACAGTTTTCGCTCAAATCCTTTAATTATTCTTTAGTAAAAGAAGTTCTTGGCCGTATCTTATGGATACATGGAATGCTTTGCATTGAATCATCTGGTCATGCTCTAGGAACAAAACAAATCTAACTTTGACATTTGTAAGACGTGCAGAGAGCATTTCTATCCACATTTTTCTAAAAAGAAAGAAAAAAGAAAAGCTTAAACCTTCAGGTGGTTTGTAAAATGTTGCCAAACCCATGCTGCTACTTTTAACAGAGAAGTCTGAGTTTTAAGATTGAAGTCTGAGTTTTAAGATTGACGTGTTCTTTTCTTACAAAGAAAAAGTACATCTATCTGCCAAGCGCATGATCTTATGAGCTTCATAGGGAAGCGGCTATGACTTGTGGCTGTTTGGGGTTCAGAACAGTGCCAGCTCAACATGCGGGCTGTGTGGAGGCGGGAGAGAAAGGGAGGGACAGGCCAAGTGGCCGATAACATCTGACCCTCTGGCCTTCCCGCAGGAGAAAAGGTTCTGCAGGACGACGAGTTCACCTGTGACCTCTTCCGATTCCTGCAACTACTTTGTGAGGGACACAGCTCAGGTGTGTGAGCTCGCAGACGATCTGGTGGTACCAAGGAATAAATGTTTTGAAGCCACTAATTATTAGAACCTATTAGTTCTAATCGTGCATCATCTCTTGAGTCAACAAATAGTCCTTGAGCATTGTACTGGGTGCATCGGGCTCTGTGGCATTTTGTAAATGGCTGTGCTGCTTTTAAAGTCGTTGGGCACCTGTTTCACTTGATTCTTATCAATGGTTCTTATGTTAGAGAAGACAGGTGATAGGTGAAAAAGATATAGATTAGATAGATATCGATAGAGTAACATAGAGCCTTATTTCTTTTGTACCACTTCTCTTTATCTTGGGAGTATACACTCCATTGTATTACTTAACTTAGTGTATCTCCATTAGGTGTTTATGTATCTTGCTCTCTCCAGGCTTGTAGATTCGTGAAGGCAGAACTCTGTCTTAGTTTTATATTTGTTTCCCCAGCACAGAGCACAGTACTGAGGAACAAATAATTTTATTACTGTATCCTCAGAGATATAGTAATCTTTTCAGTCGTTCACGTGACCAGAACTCTAGAACTGGGAATAAGAAAAAAGGTATTAGCAACATCTTAAGCTAAAATGGAATATTGATATTCTGTGAAACACCGAGATATGTTTTGTGGGTGATTGTTCACTTTTTATGGAAAATATAAATTATTTCATATCAAAACGATCAGATAAAACACTATCCTTTAGCCACAATGATTTTGCTGTAGACAACATTGTTCACATGTGGAGTTATTCAACTAACTCAACTCATTTTAAACTTCTGAGTAAGTTTTAAAAATATTTTTGGATCTTATTTAGATTTTCAAAATTATCTGAGAACTCAAACTGGCAATAATACAACTGTCAACATAATCATCTCTACTGTAGACTATCTGCTGAGAGTTCAGGTATGTTGCCTTACATATTAATAACAAATTAAAAGGTTGGTCGGTTAAAATAATATGGCAAGGCTATTAAGTTGACATGTTTTAATGTGCTTTCTTTTGTGGTTAGAATTTTTTGTCTTTCAGCAAGTCTTAGAGCGAAACTGCCACTGTTGCCTTTGCCTTGATCCTGGTTCCGATTTTGCTCATTGTTTTCTTCCTATACGTGGAGATTTCTTCCCTCTGTTTTTTAGCTTGATCATATTTTAATTCCTTTTTATTTTGTAAAGCACTTTTATACTCTGCTCCTTCCTCTAAAGTTTATAGATAAATTGGGGAAGAATATTTGAAACATTCCTAGGAATAGGAAAGAAAGGCTTTCCAACTATCACCAAACAAATTTCATAGCCTAAGGTTAGTTCTTTTCAGCTGTCCTAATGTTTGCATTAATTTTTAAATTCAGCTTAACATCCCATGGCTTAAAAATCTCTCTGTTATCATAGTCATATTTGACATGTTAATCAAACTGAATCTTGAAGGCATATGCTTCTTAAATGAGAGCCCTATACAGCTTTTATTTTCCACATTTTATTTATAAGAGAAGCCAGGTACAGTATGTCAATAACAGCACATCCAAACTTTCATTTTTTTCATTAATCTTTGAGTATGTAAAAGCACAATTTTTTTTTTTTTACTTAAATCTTAGTGGGAAAAAAAAGTTCATTTTGAAACAAATACATCAATAGATGTTACTGAAAACATATTTGTGATTTTTAAAATCATGTCTCAAAACCCAGATGTAGTACCTATGCTGAACTAAATCGTATTATTCATTTAGCCCACTAAAGTTCCTTAAAAATGTAAGTTATTGTTGAAAACATCCCATTGAGAAAGATTGATCTTGTTTAGTGTTTGTTTTTTAATTGTTGATAGTATTTATAAGCAGTGCAACCAGTTTCCTTAGGGGCAGCTACAAAAGCAAGGATCATAGAGTTCCCCCTGATGAATGTTACTGGCTTTGTTGGAGAAAAAGGAGGCCAGGTGTCTGTAACCCAAAAAGTAATGTTCCATGATTTGTCTAATTTCTGTGCTCATATAGTAAGCATCTAACTTTGCTCGGTAGGTAAATATGCATTAGTCTTATGAATTCTTATGTTTGTAAAGTTCACGGTAATCTGGCACAGATAGTTTTCTGCTTCTTGTCAGCTCTGCAGTTATTTATATATAGGGTGAGGCTGCCATATTGTTTGTTTAGGAAAATCATTGAGAATGGTATTTCTTCACAGATATTTTTGTTTGCTTTCATATCGAGTATTTAAAATACTTTTATATTATAGAGTCCAAGAGTGGACAGGTCAGTGATAACTTGAGAATGTGCTTAATAATGTCCTGTCTATTTTCCAGGAATCAATCAGTGATTTCTATTGGTATTACTCTGGGAAAGATGTTATTGATGAGCAGGGACAGCGGAATTTCTCCAAAGCTATTCAAGTAGCAAAACAAGTCTTTAACACTCTTACAGAGTATATTCAGGTAAACATTTACACATTTCTGCTCTTCTAAGAAAGAAAAGCGAAAAAGAGTCAGCTGGTTAGCATTGAATTCCGTAGAAACATGTGGTATGTCTAAAGCATTTTCTTACCATCTTCCACATGTCCTCTTGACCCCTTTTACAGTTTCTTAGCCAGTAATCACAATCAAATACTAGGTTGAGATGTGAATTTATACAGAATGAAATTGCTTAACTCTTGGGCAGATTGAGGTATCATTAACTCCTTAGAGACATGAATCAGGATGTTGGCTTGTATCTCCAAGGCCTGGTATGTATATTAAGCACTCAATAAATATCAAGGAAGGGAGAGAGCGAGAGAGCGAGGGAGGGAGGGAGGGACAAAGTACAGAACATTAAGTCACTCTTTATAGTACGTATTATGGTAAAGATGGGGAAGAATTTTCATAGAAACTTAATAAAAAAAGAAAATAGTGTTTACCACTATTTGCGTGTGTGTATGTGTGTGTGTTATAGGTAAAATTCCAAATACCATAGAGAATATACCTTTTTGTTTTTTTAACAGGGGTTTGTTTTATATTCTCCTTAGGCTGAACTAGTCTTAGCCTCAGACTTTTTAAAGATTTTATGATTTTTTTCAACCAGCAAAACTGCTATTTCCTAGCAGACCAGTCAGTCCTCTTTCCTTTCTGTCTTTCGTCTCAATGGCCAGTGTTACCCTGAATCAATCTGGCACTGTGTTTGGTGCACCCCGTGCTGAGGCTAGAACAGGAGGAAGAAATTCGTGGTTTGCTTTGTTAGACTAAATATAATCTTGAGGGTGGAGGGAAAAAACTTAAGAAAGGATAAAACAGATTGTATCCCCAGAGCCTGGCACAGTTATAGGTGTTTGAGTGAATGAGTGACTCATGGCTGTTTGAAGCCACCCAAGGCTAAGTGCCCTAGAGATAGGATGACCTCCCAGCTCATTCTCTCCTCCGCATTCAGTGCCTTGGAAACATCTCACATGTTTGTATTATTTTCTCCCTGGGTGAGGAAGAGGATCCTTATTTCAGCATTTCAAGATGGAAAAGTCACACTTGATAGTTCTAATAAAAGTTCCTTAAAATCGAATAGTAGGGGCCGGCCCAGTGGCACACTGGATAGTGCGCCGCTTGGGAAGCGCGGCGGTGCTCCCGCCCGAGGGTTCGGATCCCACATACAGACCGGTTCCCGCTCACTGGCTGAGCGAGGCGCGGGAGCAACACCGAGGGTTCCGATCCCGTTGCCGGTCCCCGGTCCGGTACGGGGGCAACACTGAGGGTTGCGATCCGTTGCCAGACACGGAAAAAGACAAAAAGACAAAAAAAAAAAAAACAAAAAAAACCAAAAAAAAAAAAAAAAAGGCCAGGGAAGATAAGAAAAGAGAAT